GATAAGTTTTATTATTTGGGCAGCTACATCTCACCCGGTGGACGCATCACGGATGAAGTGTCAGCTCGCATACAGAAGGCTCGGTTGGCATTTGCTAACTTGAGACATCTGTGGCGCCGTCGCGACATCCGGCTGTCTGTGAAGGGTCGAGTGTATGCCGCGACAGTTCGGCCAGTCCTGCTATACGGTGCGGAAACTTGGCCAGTAAGAAAACAAGATAAAGGTAGACTGTCGGTGTTTAAACACCGCTGTCTACGCAGCATTGCACGAATCTGGCGGAGTAGCCGGATGAGCAATGTTGAGGTTAGGGGCAGAGTTTTGAGTAAATACGGTCGCCCGCTGGAACAAGTGGTCGACCTCCATAGATTACGTTGGCTGGGACATGTGTTACGCATGTTACGCACGAGGGTATGAAAACCCTAACCAGGAAACTGGGTCACATAGGTCCTGTTAGGCTCCCTGGCTGGGGACCTCGGGATGATCGTAACCGATGGTCAGAGACACTGAGCGATATGGCTGAGTGTCGTAAACAGTGGCGTTCGTGCATCTCCTCAATTTCTTCCCAACCTTAGTCCACTGAACTTCTCCATTTTCTTTTCGAATCCACTTTCAACTTTCCTTTCTTCTCCTATTCTTCATCCCAATGAGCAGTCAAAAGACAGCAACCAAAACCGGCGCACGAAAGTGCGTGGTTAATGGTTGTTCAAACTGAAAACTGAAACTGGTGGAAATTCTTCCGACTCAGATAAGCACTAGATGTGATAGAAAATATTGGAAAGTGGTCACAAGGCAACCGGGCCGCTGACGCACAATGTCTGCGTTATCACAGGATTCGTGGTCAAGTAAATCCGTCTGCGACTGGAACGGATAATTCGGTGATTACCCCAGCTTTCTAGCCCCTTATTCATGATCACACTGTGGTGTTGGAGGTATCACTTACCATAGTGGCCTGTTCCCCAGCTACTAGAAGGAGAACAGCGAAAGAATCGGTACACACAATAGACGGTCAGCAGAAGTTGAGGTCACATGATAACACTTTCCATAAGTGTATTCTGTTGGCCTCTAGATAGAGATGGCTGCAAATGGTGAAAAGATACACGATAAACTAATCAACGGCCGGCAACTGAAGTGAGTGGTAAAGTCATAAGTACGGGTAAAATCAAATTGAAAATAAACAGTTGAAAAATTCGCAGCTTTAGGCCAACCAGTGATTTCGCTCGACAGGAACCCAACGTGTGATACGGAACCAAACGGCCTAGATAACTAACGGGCATTCGGTTTGCATCTTGTTTTGTGATTACATGTAGAAACAACACTTTACCCCAAATTGACGGTCATTCAACGAAAACCAGAAACTGATGGACTACTACTGTTTTTGATTCGTGTAACGTTCTAACTCGACCGGGGTTGTTTTACATGAAGCTGTACTGTAACCCTATCCAAAAATTGCGATTACTGATTCAATGCTGTTTCACGTCTTTATCTCGCTCGCTTGCCAGGTGTGTTCAAGGGGGCACAACCGCAATTCCAGGTGCATTCGGTTGCGGTAAAACGGTGATTTCACAATCCTTGTCGAAATATTCCAATTCGGATATCATTGTTTACGTCGGCTGTGGAGAAAGAGGAAATGAAATGTCCGAAGTCTTACGTGATTTCCCCGAGGTAGGTGGTTATTTTGTTTCCTTTCGTACGACAGGATTAGGTGATAAAACAGATTTAAAAACTGTACATACGGTATAAAATAATAACCATAAGTATACATTTCTAACCCTGTTTTCTTTGTCATTTATGAAATCATATACATATACATTATAGTTTCTAACTATACACACATGTGTATCTTTTGTGTTTTCGGGAATTTTTTAATTAGTTACAATGATTAGTGTTACTGCTTTACGTTATGTGACTTCTGTCTTCTTGTTCCGTTCGTAGCTTACTGTTGAGCTGGATGGAAAACAGGAGTCTATCATGCAACGTACTGCTCTTGTGGCAAATACCTCCAATATGCCTGTGGCTGCTCGTGAGGCCTCCATCTATACGGGAATCACTCTGTCCGAGTACTTCCGAGATATGGGTTACAATGTGAGCATGATGGCCGATTCGACCAGTCGTTGGGCCGAAGCGTTGCGTGAGATTTCCGGTCGTCTCGCCGAAATGCCCGCCGATTCTGGTTATCCGGCTTACTTGGGAGCTCGTCTGGCCAGGTAAACGTCCCACAGCTCACTTGACATTTTATGGCTAATACCTGTGATTAATTTACCGTCTTATTAGGTTTCGCAAATACGTTTTTCTTTCATTACACATCTTTTTAGTGTGATGAGCAGCAGACGGGGTAAAACCCAAAGTCACGAGAACTTGCTGTTCACTGATAGGAATCGACAGCTTATTCCTGGGACTTGGAATGGCAAAACAACATTAGGCCCCGCTAGGTTGAACGATAGCATTTACTGTCTTCCAGTCCTGAAATGACTGAGAGAAAGAGACTTGAAACGATTGAATTCCATAGTGTTTGATCACCAATCTGATTCGTTCTATGTCAATGATTTCCTACTTTCGAGTGGAACGGTTTGCTCTCAGATCCTTTGTGGAAAGATCCACTTGTTTTTTAATGGTTTGTTGTCTCGCCTTTTTCTCATTCATCTGTTAAGTTCTTTCGAGCTTGTGACAGTCATCTTGATGTTCCGAAGTGTCATAATCGTCATCGTACGGTAGAATGCAATAAAGCGAACACCATTGCTCATTACCAAACTCTCTCTCTCTCTCTCTCTCTCTCTCTCTCTATATATATATATATATATATATATATA